TTGGAAATCCAACACCACAGGTGCGACTGCCGTGGATAGCTGTGTGCGACTCGACTTTTGCTGATTTTCTGACCCAAAACTAATGCAAGAGGAGTAGCTAGACTGGCCACAACGAGGCTTCCGAGTTTCCACTCATTCGAGACACATGTTTCGCTGGCCTCGGCATACGGCAAACGGGTCATATTAGCCATACTTGAATTGTTGAACGGCCTGACTATCCATTGCCACGGAATCATCTCGAGAGGGGTAGGGGCGGCTAACTGACGCCAGCTATCTGGAAGACCGTGCCACTCTTGCACATTGCCGCAAAGATTGTAGAGCCAATTGACATAGTCTATCCGGGTTTCGAACACCTGGCACGAACCCCCGCAGGAATTGTAGCTGATTCCGCGGCAAACGCAAGCCCTGTCCACTGCCGGCGTGACTTTGCAGTAGCCATTTGAGTCGAGTTCACAAGCATCGGCTGCGCACTGAGTAGTCAGATCAGTCACTTGATCCGGCATATCTGCGACACACTTGGGCCAGTGCCAAGCCTCCATGGGGATATACGCGAATTGCGTGGTTCTCAGTGTTTCCGCCCAGTTATCGGGTAGATACGCCGCTCCACAGGTGGCATGAATCCAGAGCCGCTCCTTCGTGAGATCCAACTGTCCTGACCCTGCACATGGTTCCTTTTTGAAATCTATAGTAAAGGCGGTGCAGAGACAGGCTTTATCAAAATATTCGCCATCTTTGATGCGACGCCCAACAAGATCGTAACCAACCGCTTCAGCGTCCAGGGCGATCATGGACCTTAAATGCTCACTGTATTCCCAAGGACGAGCAGCGTTTCCGGTATGCTGAGTAGTGCTTCCGAAGCTACAGGAGGCCATTACACGTTGGAATGATTCCAGGGATAGCGAGGAAGTTGAACCAGTCAGGCATGTTGGTGCATGATGAACTACATCAACTGCTGAGTAACCGTCAGCTAGGGAGGCTGGTGAGAGAGTTGCCAGCCCGCTCGCGTCGCCGACGTTGACAAGCCACGTTCGACCTGTGATCTTACGAACCCATTCGTACAACTGTGCTTTGGCGAGGATTGATCTATCGCAGTATGAAAAATACTTTTGGATAACGTCGGAGGAGAATTCAACGCTGAGACAGCTCAGTTGAGTTAGCCATTGGTGGTGGGTGCAGATAAATCCAAAGTGGGAGGTGCATCGTTTGCTGGTGCATTTTGTCATGGTACTCAGCCAGGCAGACTGGTCTTGCTGAGCGATGCATTGTGGCATAGGAGCCAAATCTTCGGGGTTGAGCCAGCCATTGTAGTTATTTTGGATCAGCAAGGGTTGGTTCTGCTCAGTATAATCAAGCGCTGAGGCATGGGTAACTTCGTTTGTATTGATCACAACGCCAGGGACAGAGGGTGAATTTGGGAGGGGATTATCCTTCCCATCTAACCCATAAGCCCCAGCGGTTAATATCATAAAACGCATATGAAATATCTTCATCTTGCTTGTTGTGTTCAGGCGCCTTGCACTTAGAAACAGCGTGAGCGAAAGCTGTTGGCGCCTTTCGGTTTCAAGGATGAGCCTACCCAGTAAGAGGTGCGATTATGAGGTGTCAAGCTGACCCCGCATTTATGCTAGGGATCTATGCAATGACTAACATGCCTAGCGATTGGAATGCAGCTCAGCCACTACACAGAATTTCTCCCGTCATCGCTTATCTTGAATTTATTCAGTCGCCAATCAGTGACAGGCAGCTTCAAAAATTTGGAGAAATTTAATATAGGAGATAACTTACATCAAATCTCTTCGCTTCTTATAAAGAAAGAATTAGAGGTAAAACCTGAAAGAAAGAACAAAGTAACCAGCTAGTATACAATCCAAAGCTACACGTGCATATAAAAGCCCTGGCTCATTTTATCCGATCATACGAATGGCCAACAGGTTAATAAATTGAAAGAATTTACATGAAAAAATTTGATAGGTATAAGTCAGTGAATTAAAACAAAAGGGATTCAAGTGCCAGCTCATCATCTTAAAAAAATTAATGTCTCAGCCTTGTATAGTAGCACACTGTTACTCCGCAGCATACTTACATACATTTTCTCACTAAACGGTGATTAACTTCGGTCCAATCACTATTGTTGTGTACTGTGTCCACATTCACCAGTAAACAAATACCAACCGTCTAAGATAATATTCCAAAAAAAAAAAAAAAAAAAAAAAAAAAAAAAAAAAAAAAAAAAAAAAAAAAAAAAAAAAAATCAGGTTCTAGAATAAATACAATAAATTCCCTTTGATTTTTTAAACAATGTCCAGGAATCAATGTCGACAAGACCAATAGAAACCCAGAAAGCATCCACCGCTATACCCCACTTGAAAATAAGATGTTTCTGCCGGCATAATCGCCTGCCCAAATGGCGTTTTCCACTCTTTTTTCTCTGGACTTGTTTCCCCTCCTATCTTTCGAATTTACTCATTATCAGCCAAAATGCCCCTCATCACTGATTTTGCTCTCCCCGCATCGCCAAAGCACCTCGAGCTCCCCGAGGGCACCGATGCCAAGGCCTATCTTGTGTTCGTGACTTCCGATGACCCTGTAACCGGTCAATCCTGGTGCCCCGATGTGCGTGCCGCCTGGCCAGCGCTTGAAGCCACGTTCTCCGGGGCGAGCGCACCGGCCCTGAGAGTGGTGGAGGTGGGACAGAAGCCCGAGTAAATTCATCTCTAGGAATCTCGTTGGCTTTATCTAGGGGGTACTGACGTGGTTTCTAGATGGAAGGATTTGCAGAATATCTACCGGACTAATTGGAAGATCTCTTGTATCCCGGCGTTGGTGCGATACGAGCGCGTTAATGGCGAGACCGTTGAGACGGGAAAGCTGATGGAAGGAGAGATTCTGGATAAGAAGAAGCTGGGGGAGTTTATGGGGACGACACTTTGATAGTATATTCGTTGGACGGAATGATTGGGAAGATGACAGCCTTCGATTTGAAAAACTAATAAATTTCAAACCACTTACATTTTAACTTGCAAATTTCCATCAGTGCGAGCTGCAGCCGACGTGGGCTACAGATGCGTCACTACCGTTTGGTAGGAAAGGGAAGCCACCAAGATACTACTACCGCGGCGAGGCTTATGACGGTTGAGGATTAGCCGTAGTAAAGAAGTAAGCTGGCTCTGATTTAGGACTTCTATCGAAAGTTTAACCTGCTCCACTTACCCAATGATCGGGTTCAACGGAGAATCTTTGGACTCGTACCTGATTATCATGAACATGAGTCCCTTCATACTATAAAAAGTAGCAGTCCATTACTCCGAAGCATCTGTACCTCCTGGCATAAAACAATGATATTGCCATCGAACAGCTATCTAAATTCCACTTTGCCACAGCATTCACCCCGCGTAAGGTTATAGATCAGAGGATATGAACCATGGTTTTAACTCGAATCTTGAGAGCTCAACAATGCATTATTTCCCAGGGTCGAGCTTGTCTTCGAAGTTTAAACACAAAGTTGCGCTTATTATTCATAAAATGTAAGCGTCATGATTATACAATCACAATGGATTGTCCATAGCTCATAGGTCAAGACACACCCAACCTTTCGGCTCGGGCTATATATCAGATGGAATGACCACAAGTCATCCATTACTTCCTCATTCTTAATACTACACGCAACCCCATGCCCTTCATATGTAAGGCTCCTCCGCCATAACACATTCATCCCATCCTTCCACCTAGACGAAAATCACAATATCAACAAAACCAACTCATTCTTACCACGCCAGAACCAAGAGCCAAACAACAAAGTAACCAAGCAATAACATCCCATTCCAAAATGGAAGCCAAAAAGAATCTATTGTGCGCTCAGCTATCCGGTCGAGAATCTCCTGCCCCTGAAAGCCAAACCGCCGAACAGCAAGAACCTCTCTGCTGGGGCAGAATCTCTCGCAGTATGCAACAGCAACCGGAGGCCCAAGCCATGGGGAGTTCTGGCATCAAGCCGTCTGTGTTGGAAAGTAACCCTGTCCATCCGCTCGAGGGACCTTTGATGGCGCAATATGCGGGTGATAAAATGAGGCGTATGTCGGATTGACAATGGGGATTTGTGGACTTGGGTTGTTTTTTCTCTCCGTGAGGAGGGCTAGTTGTTTATGATTTATTTGATAGGCGATTGCTTTTGGCAAAGGATATATGTAGGAGATATTTAGTGCACTTCACATTTCACATATTAGTAAATAAACTGGGAGAATGTGTCTGCCGTCTACGCGGGATCCTCACTATGGTGTTATATTAAAGGGCATTTCAAACAACATCGCATATTGTACTTCTATTCTGTCACTACGTATCTTTGCAGTATCCTGAATTTCAACTGCTGGCTAGATAGATGCACCTTGCGTTCTTAAGTAAATTGGTTATGAGTAGTTATCCGACATACAAGAAATGCCGAGACATACTAATCTTGAAATCCAAGGCAGATAGATCTATCTCGACTGCCCTAGTCCCCGTAGTGCAAGGTGGTATGCACAAGGAAGCTCAGTAATTCAGAGAGGATGACTGTACGGATGTAGTCCCCCTGAATTAGGCAAGACAGGTGCCGGGTGTGCCCTTCATCGCATCTGGGGGCTTGCAGAAAGTGTGGTCTTGGGTAATATCAGCAAAGAGCATGCACACAAGGGGCGCCACTCATTTAGATGAACTGTAAAGACAGTGCTAGACAACATAAGTGGTTATATTCGATGCCAGAAGTTGATGGGGTAAAGCAGAAGCCAGCCTTTTTGATATTCGGGTACTACTTTTACAGCAGCACTCGAGCGTAGACCGGGTTTCGTGGACAGCCGATCTATGATTTTATAAGTCACTAATGAGGCTATACAGGGACTTAAAGGTCGGGAAACAAGGGAGGTGGGGAATAACTTGAGGGGAAAAAGGAGGCGATAAGAAACGGAATACACCTATACAAAAAGCTGGAAAGCCATGCAAGGTTCGCAATGAACAAAAAGATAAAATAAAGGTCGCGCCCGGGTTCGAACCGGGGTTATCAGAAGATGTTCATTTATGCATGCTTGAACTTGAAGACGTTCATGCATAGTTGGATCAAAATCTGAAGTGATAACCACTACACTACGCAACCAAATGCGGTTGCGATCTCTCGTCCGTCTATGAACTATTAGCTCAGATAACCGGATGTTGGCCATCAGAACTTGGGTTGAGGAACACCATTGAACCGGTACAAAGTACAAGAAAAAAAAAAAAAATAGCTAAATCAATAAACCAAAGCTCAAGATAAATTGAAATGAGAAAAACATACTACTAAACACATGGCTTTGTACATTGAGGGCTAGAATCTATACAATACAAATAGCTATTATCTGTGGGTCAGTAGACTATAGCCCAGCATGGAGACTTGACAGCAACCTTTCTCATCCTTGCTCACTATCAAGGAAAACGAGATCGTCTCTTCCAAACAATGAGCAATCCCACAAGGCAGTAGAGAAGACACATCCACGGTTTTCTTCGCGATGCTAGGGCTTGGGAGTAACACAGGTGCAGGCACCAGCCCTCTATAAAACCAAGAAAGCAAACGTTCGGTTGGTTTTACAGTGCAGTGGTTATCACCTCAGCTAGTACACTATCCCATTCGGTATATCCCCAATTGAGATCTATCTGAAATTCCAATAACCCTGTTTGAACCCGAGTAGAGCCTTGTGCTTTTCTTTAATTTTTGCATATACCTTTCTATCTTAACCCCCCCCCCCCGTTCCGTCCCGTGTTATTGTTGCTGCCAGCGCAAAGTATCCAGTTTTGATTTCCTTCTTCTAACCAACTAAAGGATCCCCTGTTGTAAGGCCATGATAAATAAGTTATGGGTGTGTGGACAACAGTGTGCCTATGGCAAGTTGAGAGTTTTTTTCTTCTGTCAATGAATAAACATCATCTGAAGAATAGCTCAACTATTGTATGCATACGCATGCCGAACGTGAAAGCACAGCGCAAGCCACGGACTCATAGGGATGCTGGTAGATCTGAAGCTCACGGTCACACTGGTCCGCCAGCGCTGTTGTTGGGATAGAAATATGTTTCTAAAGGCCTATAATGCATAGTCCCGACCAGCATCTTCTATCAGGGTTGCGTAGTGTAGTGGTTATCACTTCAGATTTTGATCCAACCGTGCATGAATGTCTTCAAGTTCAAGCATGTATAAATGAACATCTTCTGATAACCCCGGTTCGAACCCGGGCGCGACCTGCTATTTTTATCCATGGTGCATTATATATAGCCAACAAAGAGTATTTATTATATGCTCCTTTCTTTTTTTACTATTTCACTAACAAAATGACAAAGAGCTCAGGTGAAAACATCAGCCTGGCCCTGAAGTGTCAGAAATGTTTCCTTATCATGGCCAGGAATGACCTGTCCCTTCGTGATCCGTTGGAGCTGCTTAAGACGCTGCGTACTTCTAAACCACGATGGGTGGTCCCGCGCCAACCAACCCTGGGGGATACCATCCCGCCACTGTTGCCAAGTCAGTAAAGCATGAGATTATCAAACAAGTGTAACGCACATTCTCAATGACATGGCAATGGTCACTGATGAAAAAGAACGTGCCAGTATTGAGCATGTTAATTTGCATGCCGATAAGACCAGCCGTATGCCCGGGTAAATGATGCAGCGTGATACCCTGACAGAAGTCCAGAGTTTGATCATCGAATGTTTTCCAGTTCCTATATTTCATCAGTCCACACACAATCTCAACACGCCGGAAAAGAAAACCATACAGTGACAACTTAAGATAATGTTCCAGATACACCCCGTCATCGGCCCCCGTAGCAACAGACCAAAACGCATTCGTCAATTCCTTCTCATGCACCCAAACCTCGACATCCGTGCGATGCAAAAACTCATCAAGCCCACCAGCATGGTCGAGATGCAGATGGCCGATGACAATCTTCTTGATATCGTCAAGCTTATGTCCCGTTGCTTCAACGGCGGCCCGGAGCTCGTGCCGAGGCTCGTACTTCACCCGAGCAAAGATATCGGCGATTGCGGGACCCCACACGGTTGGGTAATCCTTTCCGCTGCCGGTTTCCCAGAGAATGAGACCCTCGTGCGGGTGATCGATTAAAATGCAGTACATGGGCAGTTCGCATCGCTCGTTGGCAAAGGAGCCGTTTTCTGTGGATTTCAAGCTGGTGTTCCCGCCTCTCACGACGAACCCTTTGTCACATTCCATCCATCCTACTTCGAGGACGTGGAACTTTGTGCCGGGAGGGCAGACGTTCGAAATGGCGTTCGGGACGGCACCTTGATCTAGCTGGGCTTGGATTCCGGACATTCTGTCGTCAGTCGGTTATAGTCAGAGGGTTAGTTGAAACAGGGAAAGTGATATCGAGCTCATGCTATTTGTATGTCTTTAATAACCCCGTAAGCCCGCGTGTGTGATGTGCAAGATTAAGAGCAAAGCCCGAATTGCGGGGAATGTGGAGTTATAGGTCAGTCTCCACTGAAGCTCAATTTTGACTTGTAGTCGAGGCGCCTGAAAGGCCAGTTTGGCAGAGTATGAAGGATCCCTTCATGCTCCCTTTTTTGATCTGATGGGAGAACTCAAACCAGTGGGGTTCTGTGATTCTAAGTTTACTTCCGGGCGTCGTGACGTCTTTTCGCTCTTTGTTTGTTACTTTGTGGTCAAAGTTAATCAGCATTTAAATATTAAAGTCACAAATTATAATCCGCTGCCCCGAACAGGGTTGCAGACAACACGTGCTGGCCAACCTCCATATTTATATTATCAGTGAGGTTTTCTAATTTTTAGTTAAATTAATTGATCTGAAACAAACTACCCTTAGCCATGTACACAGCAGAAGCAACAAGAAAAAATAGAAACATACAACAGCAGGGATTCGCTGGTGGTCACCCACCCAACTACTAACCTGCCGGCGTGTGGCTTAAGTACGGCTGAGCGGACGGGAAGCCCTGTTCTCCACACCCTATGGTCGTATGTAATGGATTACTTCTTGAGAGCTATTATATAGGTGTATCACCGCAGTGCTACTTGAAACGGAAGCTCTTACCTATCCATCTTTTATTCTATTCCATAGCGGTATTTGGCCAACCTGGTTCAGGAAAGACCTTTGGAATTAAGGAAGCGGCCAAGTCGATTCTCCTGGATCATGGTTACCAAAGAGAGGACACCAGGCCATTGGAATTCAACATTTCTCTCATGAGCGAGCGAACAGAGCTTATCTGTGCCTTCCAAACCATCCGGGAGAAGCAGCTTTCCCGTAAAGTGCCCATCGTGTTGTTCGACGAATTCGACTCCCAGGGGGGCCGGTGGCTGGAGTACTTTCTTGAACCTATGGAGAATGGGATGTTTACAGATGATGACGGTAGTCATCCTCTTGGACGTGGTATCTATGTCTTTATTGGTGGAACTTCGAAGACAATGGGCGATTTCCGATGCAAGCAGGGAAACGCAGCCGATGCAACTACCAGCAACCTATCAACAAACGACGCAGCTAACAACAACGTACGTTCTCAACCAGAAGCTCAAGCAAATACTAAAAACGTGAACTATATCGACTATCCTCTTGGAATCAATCGTGTCAGCCTGTCAGGGCTCTTCCACAAAATGCGTGATACAACAATCAGAGGAAGGCTTCCTATAGTTCTCATACACGGTTTCACTCAACGAGAAAATTGGGGATGGGTGCAAGAGTTCCTCTCACCAATGCAAGACTCCTTGTTCCTAGACAACGGTCAAACTCGACCAATTGGCCAAGGAATATTCGTGTTTATCCAGACCTCTAACCAGCGCAGCCTGCCCAATGTCCCCGATGATGGACAAAACTATGACGATAGCTTCGTAAATGCCAAGGGACCGGACTTCCTCAGCAGACTACGTGGACGTGTGGAAATACGCGAAGATGGTGAAATGGATCTTAGCGCGTTTAGCCAAGTGATCAAGGAATATATGAAGACTGACAACCGGGACAAGCCTTTGTCCATATGTGTTACCAATGTTAAAGCTGACAGAGTAAATGAGATTAAAGAAAAGCTGACTAATCTTCGTGTATATGATGTCGAGACACGTACAACTCCGGACTCTTATACTCTGCCGGCGGAAAACCTTTATGGAGTGACGTTTCTGAGGCTGGTGAAGGCGTACGTCGATATCAAGGGCCCCAACCCTGTTGACAACGACAGAATTTCCATACTCAGGCGGGCAATTCTTCTACGTTCATTACTGCAGCGACGTGTGAAGGCGGGCAAAAAGGAGAAAATTAACATCCAATCCAACGTCTTGAATGCTTTACTCTACGTTGACCGTTACCACCATGGTGCTCGCTCAATGGAAGCAATACTTGCTATGAGTGCTTTGTCTGAGTATCAACAAGCAAGGGGATTCACACAACAACATCTTCCTGCGTTTGACATCAACCAACTTTCTTTACACGTGGACGAAAGTCAATTTAAGACACAGCTGGAAGCCCCCGATAACGGCGCGGGTCAGCCAGCAGGTCGTCTGGGCGGTGCAACTCAGCGCCGCTACACGGAGCAACACATGATGCGAATGCAAGTGGGTTTGCCTTGGTCTGCGTGAAGGAAAGCTAGCTATACTTCAGGTACGATAACCGGGAGTGACTATGTGTTGTCAGATGGGAATGGGGAAGGATGAAACGGTTCGGTTTCAATTTTCGAGTAACTGATTTTTTTAGTTAGTTGTCGTATGGATGAGTACTGTTTGAATTGAATGAATGTTGCACTTTTCGATAGGTATTCAGTGCCACTCTTTTTAGTATGCAGACAGAATTGATAACCATGCCGATCTTCAATCTGTATAGTGGACTTAACAAAAGACATGCACCGTTTAGCCATTTTATTCTATTTACAATTTCCTGACATCGTACATGATCTACATTTCTTATGACAGCCTTTTTCAGCCCAATTCTCTCAAACCGATTTGAATAAAGAAAAAACAAATCTAGGAAACCGACACCGACCCGAAGCCGCCCGGACCTACCGGACCCGTCGGGTCAAGCTCCCGACTCCCGATCCGCCCCGTCAACAACCCTGGCTGCTACAGCCCGCCGTATCAGTAGCTTAGCCCAAGGCCGGACGGGTTATTATCTTATC